CCCTTAACATTTTCCATTTCACACCACCATGACATCTATAAAGCCAAAAAAAATAACATGTGTAACATGTATGGATTATGCCTAGAAGATATATCACGAATATAAAAAACTCACATTAAGAGTTACAAATCATCCCTAATCATTTTGAAATCAATTTTATGGATTTCTAAACATGTTTCATTAAGATCATAAGCATCTAAGTACATAATAGTAGTATGAATGTAGTTTAAATACAGGTGAATTATATGGTTTGTGTGATTATAAGCCCCATACTTAATTTCTCACACAAAGTGATATCTATCTAAGTATATCTTATATTGGTAAAAATATTGCCTATAGGTAAGTAATGATGCTTAAGAGAACTTGTACAATTATCATGCATATGACCATACCTGTTAACGGCGAATGGCGCACCATGGCGCAAAGGTCCATTTGGAGCCATGAAAATAGCGCACGACGCGGCGCGCGCTATTTTGAACATGGCGCAAGCTATATAAAAAATATAAAATAATAAGCATGAATATGAAATATTATTAAAAATGAAACATAAGCTATCATAATAATAAAAGACAACCATAACATATATATAAGTTCGACTAAGTAACATCCAAATATCTCATAATTCAAATATTAAAAAGATCAAATATGAATTTAATCTACTCTTCTTGGGAATCATCATCAGCAGCAAATATTAAAAAAGCTTCATTATCTTCTTCAACATTGTCTCCTACTTCATAATCCTCTTCATCACGCTCCTCATCATCATTCTCAATAGCAACATCATGGCTAATTGAAGATTCTTTCTCTTTCCCTTTAGATCTTTCCCGAATATTATAGCTTTTATCATAAACACCAGTAGCTTTAGCAACATTTGTCCAAGTTAAATCATCCTCTCCAGTAATAAAGTCATTTTCTTCATCAGACTCATCATCTAATTTTCTTGTTAGCCATTCATTTGCATCATCTATCTCAGTCAAAGAAATAGGATCAATGACATCACGATGATAGAATCTCTGAATCAGTGCTCTATTATATTTCACATAAACTAAATCCTTTAAGCGACCATAATCTAATTTGCTTCTTTGTTTGCTATGAAGCTGCAATTAAAATATTATTACATTACTATGTTATGAACATATATAAAAAATCAACACATACATTATAAAATACTTACATGTTCAAAAATACTCCAATTGCGTTCGCATCCAGATGAACTACATGATAAACTTATGATTTTGATAACAAAGCTTTGTAAATTGGGAGCTCCTTGTCCATATGTCAACCACCATCAGCTGGAAGAAATGAATTTTTTTTCAATATTACATAACAAATCAGTCTTAAGTTTTTTTGTAAATAATGATACCTGGAGATCGGGTAGTTCTTTGTCTTACAGCTGGAGGAATACCAGCTACATCTTGAGATTTACATAGCGGTACCGAGCATGTACCTAACGGTACCGAGCATACCTGTTAAGTTGTAAATTCTTGTAAGAAATAGCCATGCAAAACAACAGAGCTGTGCGGAACAGATGGAGGTTGCAAATCAGAGTCAACTAGTAAGATTTTTTATTGGAACAGACGAAGGAGGGGGCGGATTTGGCAGAAGCACTGCTCTGCAGGATGATTCGGCGGAAACAACGACTTCAACTTCGGGACGGATTCGGCTGGATTCGGCGGAAGTAGCGAATGCAGCAAATAGAAAATAGAAAACCTTCGACTTCGGGATAGATTCAGCGACCTCGACTTAGGGACTGCGGGATGTGTTCAGCGGATGCAGCAAACAGAAAATCTTTCGTGAAATTAAGGCAATGAATAGTCGTTTACCTTAAAATATAGATATATTTTTAAATATAAAAAATATTCATAAGTATAAGAAAATTTAAAAACAATTTGGCGCGCTATTTTGGGCCTTGCGCAATGCACCATGGCTCACATGTGGCGCAAATAGCGCGCGCTATTTTAAACACATGCGCCTCGCCATGAACATGGCGCCGTAAGTGCACCGTGCCGCGCCGTGCGCCATGGCGCGCGCTATTTTGCGTCATTGACAGCTATGCGTCGGGTCAACCCGAACCCGACCCGTTTTTCAAACGGGTCGAATCCGGGAACCCTAAACCGACCCATTTTGGAAACAAGTCGGGTCTAACCCGAAAATTCCGAGTCAAGTTTTCGTGTCGTGTCAAATATTGACACCCCTATCCTCAACTCCCCGTTCTTCAACCTCAACCTAGAGATTGACCAAACTATAGAGGACTATGTGGAGAGGATCGTCTTCACCCTTGCTGAAGCCCTTGACGAATAACTCTCCTCTGTGCAATGGCAGATTATTTCCAAACCCTAACAAAGGTAAACTCTTCATCCAAATTTTATATCTTTTGAATTGCTCTCAATTATGATCATAATTGATTCATGAAGGTTCTGTTAATTCTCTCCGCAAAGCCTAGTATTCTAAAGAGTTGAGTAAGGGATCTATTTTCATAGTGACTAGTCTCATTGTTAACTTAGGGACTTTTCGTTGAAAATCTTCCATGTATGCTATGCTTGAGTAATTGATTATTTTGTGATCATAACCTTTAGTTGTATGACTTGGCCTAAGCTAGTTTCACCCCTTGTTTGTTTTATTTCATCGTTTAAATCACTCCTAGTTTACTAGTTAATATTGCTCTCTAAATTAAAGCGTGCAAAATTTTTAATTAACATCGCTTAGGCATTTAAGTCATGCATCATCAAGGGACCTTTAAGATTATGTCTAAGACTAAAAAAATCTAATATAAACTATTATGTGATATGAATTTCAATTTTAATTATTTGCTCAGTATTATTATTTGAATCTAGATAATTGTTATACTTTTATTATTCTACTCAATACAGGGATTTATAATGATGTTTTTACTGCATTTAAATATTATGAAAATATTTAATAAAAGAAATATTTGAAAGTTTAGATAGTTGTTTGTAATGTAGCTCACTATGGTTTTGCTTTTGGTTTTTAGAATCTAGGAAAGGAAAGAAGCTGGTTGATTAGTTGTTTCAAGATTTGCTATAAGTTTATAGGTATTTCTCTGTTTTGATTTTTGAACAATCACAATTAATGTTAGTTATACATTGTTTTGATCTTTGTTCTGTAGCAATGTACTTTAGTGTAGATCCTTAGATACATTTTGATGAAATGAAAGAAATATTGTTGATGAGTTTATTTACAGTATTATGGATGTTTATAGCAACTCTGTAGTCTATAGTTTATTTTAAAGTTTAAATTGAAAGAAGAATTTTGAAATAATTTCAAAACTAGATATTGAGATTTGCCTGTTATAGCTCAACACGATAGGACTTGTCCCATCAATGAGTCCTATTTGGTTAGATTGTGACAAAAATAATATAAAAAAGTTTAGTAAGCCAAGAAATTACATCATCTCCTAAGCATTTCCACACCTCTATTAGAATATCATTAGGTCCAACAGTTTTTTCATACTTCATTTTCTTTAAAACCTCTTTAACTTCGATTTTATTAATACGCTGATAAAAACAAAAATCTTTATTTTCATTTAGGGTGCGGTGCTAAGGACATTAAAATCAATTATATTCTCACAATCTTCATTGAAAAGATCAACAAAATATCTCCCCACCTTTGTAAAATATCTTCTTTCAATAAAAGCACTATTTGATCTTCATCAATGCACTTCATTTGAACTAAATCCTTACTATTCGTATCTCTTTGTTTGACTAATATATATATATATATATATATCACTCGACTTAATATCTAAACTATTATATAAATCCTTAAAAGCTAAAAACTTTAATTTTAAAAACAAACACTCAAATAATAAAAATGCATTTGGAAACCTGCTTTCCATTTCTTGTTTTAGCAAACAAAATGGCCTGTTTTTCTCAAATTGTGAAAACACTTAACAAGAATAATTTCATATGTTTCGAAAATAGGCCTACCGATTGTTTTAGTCAATTAGTGTAATAATGGATATCATTAAGATTTAAAGTTGTATTTATAGTAATGAGGTCTAGAATAATTACTTGATTAAAATCATGTGGGTAAACAATATACTAAGGCAAAATATATATTAATTTTGACAACGATATTATTAAGATTTTTAGTATAATAATGAAGTTTAAGATAATAAATAAATAATTAATTATGCATATGATATTTAAATATTCAGAAATATCAGGGATTAATTAAGATCATTAAAATTTTATGTCTAACTTATGAAATTAAGCAAAAGATAATTAATTTATTTATTACTATTAATAAGAGTAATTGATAATTAATGAGTTTTTAGACTAATTAGGGATTAATTCAAGTACTAATTAAGATAATTAATATATTTGAATTGAATTAGTCAATAAAATTAGGATAATTAATCAGCTTTTAATTGACTAGAGCAACCAATAATTAATTATATACTTAAGCTCATTAGGGATTAATAAGGATATTCATTAAAATTATTAGTATTTAATTATAGTAATTATGGGATAATTCCATAATCAATCGATTACTCTTATTAATTAAAGCTTAACAATTTATTAGGGTTATTTAGAAACTAATGATTATTTTAATTAAGATCACTAGAATAGTAATGCTTATTTATGATTATCTGTTATTGGTATGATAACATTAATTAAATTTTAATTTGAATAATTAAATATTACTTATCCTAAAAACCTATTAATCAATGTTATGAAGGTAACTAAAAGTAACACTAAGTCAAATACAAAAACTTAACTGGTATAGTTAGAACTAAGGTGAATTAATTATGAATTAAATTGACTTTATTGCAATATTTTCATATAAAATAATTATATTTTCTGTTATCCGCATTTTTCTAATTTTGCTTCCGCAAACAGAAAATAATTAGACTACACAAACATTTTAATTTTAAGTAAAAAAAAAATCAAGACTGAGCAGAACAAAACAAAAACAAAATAAATAAAAACAGATTACAACAATAATTCATGATGGAAAACAGCAGCACATAGCTTTACCATGATCCGACAAAGTACAGCTTTGCAACAATTGATCCTGTTGTATCTGCGATAGTCATGGAAAACACAATTTCAACCGATTCTCTCTCTCTTTTGATATCTGTAACAGTCCCGTAAAGGCTGATTCCAGTCATTTTATCACTAAGATCGCTCACATAAGCCTACAAAGCTTCAAAAGTTTGAAAATGGTTATGCATATAATTTGATGTGGGAAAGTTAAGATTGTAAGCATCTTAAAGGTAAATAATTTAAGCTGCTGGAAATAATAATTTTTAGCATCGGAGGCATCAAGTCTTCCCGGAAGTAGTCATTAGACACTGAATCTGTTCTAGAAGATAAAATTAAATTTAAAAAAAAAAACTTTTTGGTGCAAACTAGCAATTTTAATATTCAATATTTTATTTCAAAACCTTCAAGCACAACACAATTTATTATGGCATTATTGACCTCCATTTGTGTTCCATGATTTATTCGAGAAAGTGTATTGAGAATGGCAACCAACTAACATGACATCACACGAAATAAACTCAAAAAGCGTCGAATGTGATCAAATCACTCAAGCATCATCCGCTCGGCACATGGAGTGTGCAGACACACCTGAAATGTAAATAATACCAAGGGAAGCACCTCCTACAATCAACTCAACTAGATCAATCACAATTAAACGATGGCATAAAAACACAAAGTCGCGGAGAAATCACAAATCACCCGAACATTGGTCGTTCAAAAAACACACTATGTCGATGTATCCAAAGAAGGCAACCATATAATTTGTATTATCGCACAAAGATGAAACGCAATATTTTCCATCACCTGAGGTTACAGCGCGCAATTGGAATACTCGAGCAACAAAAATGATCTTAGTTGATGCACACTGAATTAAATTAAATGCTCTTACAATTATTAAAATAAAAATTATTATTTTTAATACATTATATATATATATGTGTGTGTGTGCGCGCGCGCGCATTTAAAGCTCAATTATTATTATTATTGATTAAATCTAATCTAAAAAACTAAATAAACAAAAGTTAAATATAAAAAAAATATATCAAAATTTGGTAGCCTATATGGTCAAATCCCCATCTTATCTCATGTTGTATGAATAGTTCTTCCCATCGCCCTCTTGCATCAGATAGCACAAACCAATCATACCCAACACTTGCCTTCTCCCATGCATGGGGACCTGCTAGATCTTCTCACACATAGGTTCCCATATGACCTCTTCCCTCCTCACCACTGACAAGCTCCCATTGACCTTTCCCAACTCAATTGACTCCTACCGAGCCTCACAACCTCTCCCTCCAACCTCTAAAACGCCAATTATCCCTCTCCTCTCAGATCTATCCACCTCTTTGTAACACCTCCTGAATCAGGGCATAGTCTACCAATTCTGACTAGATCAGATAACGGTAACTCGCTAAATTTTCGCATTTAACACCTCTTGCATTTGTCTGAGAATGTTTTGCATGCATGTGAATGTCCAAATCTATTCTAAAGCAAGTCCCGAAGGGGTTGTATGCATGATTGAGAATCTAGAACTTTTCTCTGGGGCGCACGGAGGCATGACATCCAGCTTTTTGCCTTTTGGTAAAATAAAATTCAGTGCTGCAACACTGAGGTGCAGAACTACGGTGCAATGCCTTCTTATGGGGACCACTATGGCACGCAAGACCAGGCTCTACAGCACCAGGCTTAAATTTTTTATAAAATATCCATTTCCACCTTTTTTTTATTTTATCAAAATCATTTTTTCATCCTAAAATAGCAATCTAGAGAGAGAGGAATTGTAGAGAGAGAGTTAGGTTTGGGAGACTGATCCATTTTCTGTTGTTGGTTCATTTATGAAAGTTGTCTGAATTGAGATAAATTACATTCTGTCTATTTCATTTTTCCAAATACGAAAAACTTGGGATTTTTTTTGTTAAATTTATAAATTCATACTACACAAATGTGGATAACTTTATACCTGCAAAACCTTCACCATGTAATTTTCTGTATGTTTTAGAGCTAGTCATTCTGGATATTTAGGTATTTTTTGAAAATTTTCTATAGGATATTTGAAAAGTACGCTAATTTATTTAATTAGAAAATAATTATAATCCCAAAAAATAATTTTGTAGTGCGATTAAAATTTTAAAATAATGCACTGAACAATCCTCGATAATCTGGTGACAGTTTGAAACTATGAAATTATACTCTATAATTAATTTTATTGTCTACCAACAAAGCTTCTGTGAAATTCTGAAATTGGTTAATTTACATTTCCTTATTGTGATGTTATGCTATATATATATGTTTTTCTGCTAGAAATGTGTATTATGAGATCTGATATGTTATGGAAGTTCTATTCTAATGTTAAATCGCAGTCATGGTTTAAAATTGGGCAATATGAGGCTCGCCTTGAGGCCCGCCTTTGCGCAATTCCAATAAAAAACGCCTCGATGCTTACGCCTCGAGTTTTTTTTATGAGGCTTGCGCCTCAACTTGGTTGAGGCCCACCTTGAGGCCCGCCTCGCCTCACTGGCATGAGGCTTACGCCTCACGCTATATATATATTAAAACTTACATAAATTTTGAAGTAAATGCTCAACATTGTACTCTATAGGAGAGGAGGAAGGGGAGAGAGCAGTTCATCATAATAATGATTCAAATGAAAACCCCTTAGTGATGACACTGTTGATGACTTATGAGTTCTTATGTGATATGTCATTGCTATTTATTTTTGGAAATTTGAATTATATGTTAATGAAAAGAATAATGGGGTTTGGGAAAGATAGAATTTTGAGTTGAATTATATTTCATGTTGTCTTATTAATGGGATATTTTGATTTCACTTCATATCTTATGTTTTTTTTATGTTTTATATTATTCACTCATTAGTATATAAAAAATTTATCATTTTATGTTTACGCAATCTTTTCATTTTGAGGCTTACGCCTCAAAACGCTTTGAGGCTTACGCCTCGCCTCACGAATGAAAAACGCATCAATACCCGAATACGCAATTTTAAACATTGATCGCAGTAAGTCATAAGAGTGAGTTTTTAAATATTTGATATATGATAGATATTAAGAGTCATAATAGACTATTTTCTAATATGCCAGTATAGGAAGCCCTAAGGGCCTGAATTCTAACATTTATTTTTTATGGGAGGCCTGAGGGGAATTTGTTACTTTCTATTCTGATATATAGCAAATTTCTTTGAACTGCCTTTAATTAATTGCTTAATGAATAAATTATTGAAAATTCAGATCAGTGAGTGTGACCTATTAATCTATGTTGGCTCGCACATCTTATCTTCTTTATGTTTCAAGTCAGGAGAAAGGGAAAGAGCTCGTTGAGTAGCTGAGTTCAGGATCTTATATATCTGAGCCTGTATAAGTATTTTCTTAATTTTGTACAGTCGTGGCTAGTTATGATATTTCTCTGTTTTGATCTTTGTAGCCATATACTATAGTGTAAAGCTGCATATACATTTTGATGATATATGCAATAAAAAGAAATTTGTGGATGGTTTTATTTTATTCTGTTTATTGAAGTTAATTAGAAACTCTATGATTTATATGATTTACTGAACTATGAGAAGTCATACAAAACTTAGATCTTGGGCTAGCATGTCACAAGTCAACATAACAGGACCTGTTAAGTCCGTGAGTCCAGCTATATTAGGTTAATGACACCCTTTCTCCAACAACCCTCAAACAACAAGACCTATGTCGATCTTCATCTCGTCAGCCTACCAACCCACCATACAACAACTAATCCAACAACAACACCGCTGACAAGCTCTCGTCGACCATTCCCACCTTAATTGGCTCTTATCGAGCCTACCAACCTCTTAGATGCCAATCTCCCCTCTCCTCTCAGCTCTAGCGTCCCCTTTCTCCAAGAACCCTCAAACCGCAAGCCTTATGCCTATCACCATCCTCTCAGTATGCCAACCCACCTCATAACCTCTCCAACAACTCCACCTCCAAATTGCTAGCAACTGTTCCCACCTTCTCCAATTACCAACCTCCTTAACTACGACAAGCCTATTTCAACCAACTTCCTTGTGCCCCAACAATAATCCATCGAAGACTACTTCCTCTCTCTCTCTCTCTCTACTTTCTCTCCCCCTTTCTCTCTCTAATTTTTCCTCTCCCCTCCTTCCTCTATAGAGAGAAGACTCTCTTCCCTTTTCACTACTTCAAATTTGTCTATCTTACCTCCCTCTTAGTGACTTTTTATCCTCGCTCTCTCTAATCATGTTCATATCTTTATCTTTCTTACTCCACATTTATATTATATTATATTATATTATATTATTTCTTTATTTATCTATTTATTTATTTATCTATGTATACATATAAAGAAAAGGAAAAAGGAAAAAAAAAGAATACATAAAATAGAGACTAAAAAATTGTGTATTTGCTCTCAACGTATCTCTGCATCTTCGTCACCCATCTCACATGAAAATATAATTCAAAATTCTCCTATTATGTACCAATGTGCATTGTTCTAATGGTGCAGAAAAATTTATAGAATAAATATATGTGTGAGTTATGCTAAGATGTCAGGCAAATTCTACATATTCGCTCATGCATGTATATGAAAGCCTATGCACTCTTTTTAAAAATGATGGAATAAAAATCCTCCAGCTGTGATGTCATACGACATCAATCAAACACGCTTTTTTAGGTATAATGGTAAGGTCAAGCACTCCTATAGAAATCCCCTAAGTAGGAGGTTGCATAAACTATTGAAGTTCATATAAAATAACAACATCATTATCAAGCCTTTATCCCACTGTGGGGTCGGCCGCATGAATCGTTTTTCTCCATTGTGTCCTATTAAGAGTCAAATTCACATTTAAATCTAATAAAGAAAGTTCATTTCTAATCTTTTCTAAACAAGTCTTTTTAGGTCTACCTCCACCTTTCTTAACATAAGCCAAATCTAATATATCTAAATTCCTACCGGGTCATCAGAAGGCTGTCGTTTTATGTGACCAAGTCATCTAAGGCAACTCTCTCTAATCTTATTTTCCGCTGGAGCTACTCTAACCTTTTCTTGTATATGCTCATTTCATATCCAATCTCTAAGAGAAAAGCTACTCATCTACCTGAGCATCCTCATCCATGCAACACTTAATATTATTCTTCTCTTTTAATGGCCAACCATAAAGCATTGCAGGTTTCACCACCATCTTATAGAATTTTCCCATAAGTTTGAAATGGACATCTTCTATCACACAACAAGCCCAATGCATTCCTCCACTTCAACCATCCAACTTGAATTCTACTAATAATATCCTGATCTATTTCACCATCACACTAAACAATAGACCCAAAATATCTAAAACGTGTACTCATATTAATGATTTGATCACCCAAAGTCATAATCCCCAAACTAGAACTATCTATACTAAAATTATACTCCATATATTCAATTTTAGATCTACTCAAACGAAAGCCTTTAGACTCTAAGGTTGACCTCCATAATTCAAGTTTATCTTCAACTCCCACTCTGGTCTTATCAACAAGAAGAATATCATCAGGAAAATCATACACCATGATACAAACTCTTGCAAATGTCTAGCGAGAACATCCATGACTAAAGCAAAAAAGATATGGGCTTAAGGTTGATCCTTGATGTAATCCAACTGAAATAGGAAAATACTTGGTCAAACCATCTTGTGTTTGAACAAAGGTAACAGCTCCTGCATGCATATCCTTAATGACATGAATATAAGCATTATTAAGAAAACCCTTTCTTTTCTAGAACTCTCAATAGCACTTCTCTTGGAACTTTATCATATGCTTTGTCTAAATCAATAAATATCATATATAGATCTCCTTATTCTCATTATATTTCTCCATTAAACCTCTCAATGAATGTATAGCTTCCATTGTAGACCTACCTGACATGAATCCAAACTGATTTTGAGAAACATTAGTATCACGCTGCAACCTATGCTCCATAACTCTCTCCCATAGTTTTAAAGTATAACACATTAACTTAATTCCACTGAAATTCAGAAACGAACAACAAAATTTTAAATAATAGTTTTGAACAAATTGTAATCAAACAAACCAAAAATTACAAAATGAAAATGAACATTAAAATTAAAACAAGATCTATAGGGGACTTATAAATAACACAATAGCTCACCTACAAGCACGAACTGAACCTCTTTACCATGCTCAAATCACACTTGAAAATCCCTAAACAAAATAAAAACTCAAATGAATTTGAATAGGATTAAATAAACCAAGCTACACATCTCCTATTAATAGAAGGGAGGAATGACTTTCTATGAGACCCATCATGCAAAATGAATATATATAAAGACAAAAACTATTACAACTTGATATATACCAAGATTCCTATTTGTCTATTACGTCATCAGATTTGCAACACATACACGCAAATAGATAGAGAAGGTGGAAGGTAATCTTTTAAATTTTCAAAATAAAATTTTGAGCGCAACTCAATGATAAATACTCGTGCAAACAACCAAATATCCTGGTATTTTTCAAATCTACGCACATCAAATGCAATTATCAAATATAAGTGCACCGTCTTGAGAAACATATCATTGTCTCAAGAAGCAAGCTGGCATTGAGAAGCATGCATCGGCCAGAAAAAGATCACCGCTGCCACAAGAAGCATATAACTGCCTCAAGAAGCATGGTTTTCCACAAATGCATCATGTAGATTCAACTAAAAAACATGTAACTACATTAAAAAACATGTAACTACATTGTACAAATGACAAAAAAAAGTGTAAGTGCATCGCATATAGATATTAAAAAGCATGCAAATATATTAAAAAGTGCATAAGTGCACAATGGAAATGCACTGAAAAAACGTGCACGTGCATCATGCAAACAGACTAAAAAGTATGCATTTCTATCTTTAAAAAAAGGTTAAAATATCCATGAGCAGATTTTTTTTTTAGAACGATTATGATCAAGCCCTCCAAGTAGATGATGTTGCAATGAAATGACACCATTAGATTACCCTCATAATCAAACCTCTTAAGTTCTCCAATCAGAATGAAAAAGATACACTTGCCAAGGCATAAAGACCTCTATTAGCTAAGGTTGACTTGAATTCTTTCCCTCCGATAAACATCTACACTAAGTCTATAAAATTCCCTTAGATGAATAAACCCATAACTCCTGACAAAAATCTTTTGATTAAGTTGGATCAACTACGTCATCTGACTAAATAAATCAAAGGCCATGATAATTCTAAAAATGGGATTATTGTTGCGTTCATTATCATTCCCCTTCCTACTGCTTATAAATTTCAAACCTAATACCAAGTTTATAACATCATTTTAAAATATATCATCAAAGAACATCTAATATATACATATACATATAGTTCCGATTGACAAGTCATTTCCTACACTAAAATTTCATGTGCAACATATCAGTTTTTAATATTCGTCCAACCAATTCATCCATCCCCAATCCCAGTAAAATGGTAGTATATATCCCTGTTTCATTTGGTATCTTTCAGTGGTCATTTAAAGTGTTACAAATACTTAAATCAGCTATTAGAGTTACATATAAAGCACGAGAAGTTAGACTTTCATTTGCATGTAGCAATAGTACATAAATGATGAAAACTCACTTAAGCGGGGAGACAAAAAATTTCAATGGGATATGCTTAGTTTCACCACAACTGGATTGAGAAACAATCCAGAATAAATTGTAGAATTGCAAACCCTATGTCAAAAACGTAAGCAATCCGAGGCAGAATTTCACATCAATGCAAGTAGCCTCAGAAGATGCTTGTCCGACTGATGCATTATTGACATTATTTTGAATTTTGTTTGTTAACATAACAGTCAAGATAGAATTAAAAAGGTTAAATGGACTCACTCGGAATGGATAACTGCTGAAGTCGATGGAACCTTGTGGATTAAGTGGTAATATTACTTGGGAACCTTTGCTTTGACTCTGGTTTTGGGTGCAGGACTTTGATCCTTGATACCTCGTTTGTGTGGAAGATAAATGTACCTAGCAGTATATAATTTTGTGAGTGACTTGACGAAGTATATTATTATAAAACTTCATAAGCTAGTAAATAACCTGCTCCTCATGTTGGACGAATGGAACCAAATATAGCTGTGTTATGCTACCATATTCAAGGCAGATTTCTTCACTCATCCCTCCATTAGCTGGAGCACTTGCAATGAAAGGTGTATCTAAAGCAAGCATGCATCCAATACTGAGGATTGGAAAAACAATGTAAGAAGTGGGTGACTAGACAACAAGACAAATAATTCTAGATTAATAGAAACACAGACCTGAAAAGATTGGCTAGGATAACTTGTTCACCCCATAATAGAAAATTTATCTTGACACCATCATTATCAATTAGAATTATCTGTTTTCTCTGTAAGCTTCCAAGAGCGCCCTTAACTTCCAATGAGCCAATAGACTCAATCCTAGAAACATGAAATCATTTAATGGCCTTTGCAAGTAATGGGAGTTGTAGACATGTGAATTAGAACACTATTTCATACATGGCCTTTCCTAATGAAAGAGTAGCTTTATATAGAGTACTAATTCATCACAAGAATTAATAATAATCTGCAATCTCTATTGCTTATACATGCATAAAGGTATGCAGGGTGTACATGAAAACAAACAATAAATCAACATCTCCAAAGACCGAAGCATCATTTTTCATCAACACGAGCCTTCTGCCAACTACTTTGGTTATAGCTTTATGAAACCATTTTTTCGTTTCTTAATATTGAGCGTTATTTAATATGTTAAACTTATTCTTCACAAAGCCTTTTTAATAACTTTCACCCACATTCCTTAGATCTATCCCTGCTACCTCCCTCCAATATTAATTTTATATACCATCTAATATGTGTTTTTCATCCTTTTTTGTACATGTCCAAATAACCTATGATTATTTTGATCACTTTATCTTCAATAGATGTTACCTCGACTATTCCTCTAATATAATCATTTCTAATTTTATTTTTCATAATTTTTTTCACAAATCAATCTTAACATTTGCATTTATGAGATGCTCTACTTAGCTGACAAAGACTTTTGTACTGCGAAACACTAACATTTATATACTATCATCATCATGTTGAGTGTTGTTCGAGATATTAAATGTATTCTTTGCAAATCATTTTGAACTTTAATTCAAGTAGTCTTGGTCTACCATTTTCCTTTAATCCTTGACACTATTTGATAACGATGGCAAGATAATGAGATCTTAGATTACTGATGTGATCAATTGGTGGATGTTGTGGACACTAATATAATTAGAAGAGTTATAATCAATTTTTACAGAGTTACTCTGCGGATTGATGAAATTTGGAGCTAAGTCACAAGCTTTGTAATCTGTTCAGAGATGTAAATCCAAATTCTACCAATTGAATCTCCCTCTATATATATATATATATATATATCCAGCAAACTTGAACTTGATTTAAAGTGATACTGCCAAGTTTATTTTTGAAAAGTTTAGTAAATGATGGAGAGGTTTAAGTAGTCTAAATGTGCTTTGAAAGAGATATAAGTCGGTTCAATCCAGAACAAACCAATGTTAGGGATTTGATTGTGATTTCCTGTAATTGGTGGAATTCAATAATTCAAATTGCAAATGATCAATAAAACTTCCTAGATAAGATTTGAGATTTTTTTGTGGAGTTTTATCATTTTTTGGGATTTTATATGTGACTGAAAACACATATATGATAGAAAGGATAAATAGAAATGAGAACTAGGGCTAATTTGTTCTCCAGTAATTTAACCATAATAACCCAAAATAAATTTAGCATTATCGAAGTATGGGAGATGAGCTAATTTTTTGGAAATTTTGTTGGAATTTTATGGAGTTTTGGTTGGCCAAATAATAAGAGGAACAATACTAATCAGCAAAAATAGATTTTCTTGGCTTGGTCTAATAGGTAGGATTAGACTTGGAATTAGAATAAAATAATTTAATTTTATAAATTTTATGCTGAATTATACACACTAAAATACAATGACATAACTTCTAGTAAAAAGAAAGTACATAAAATTAAAACCTACTCACTAAAGAAGAGAATCCAAGAAGATCAACCAACCTCCTTAGAATTGTCGAACACCAAGCCTTTTACCCCTTTGGAATTCTCTCTAAAATCTTGTAAGCACAGCCAATCTATCTTTATTTCAGTTTTAGAATGTTTTATACAATTGAAAACTAAGTGAAGGGTTACATCTCGTCATTTTAAAATCAAAAGGAAGGAGAGAAAGGAGGGAGGGGGTGGGCCCACAAGCTATGATGCACGGACACGGACACGGCGACACGGACACGACACGACACGGACACGGGACACGTTTTTTTTTGAAAATATAGGACACGGGTACGGCGCAGACACGGCAATACATTTTTTTATATAGTATATATATATTAATGTAATATCATATTAAAAATGACAAACAATAATAAATGAATGACATGATAACTTGTCTAGCTTATAATATAAAATAATTAGTACAAAATATCTAGTACAACCATAAAAATATAAGCAAATAATGACTTACTACAACATCAAGCATTCAAGCTTCAACTAGTATGATTAGCTTTAGAGGTTTGTTTTTGGCCTTCAATATCATCATCATTGAATATCACTGCTTTCAACTGGGGTTCAATAAGAGAAAGATTTGTAATTGTGCAAAAAAAGAGGAGATGAAAATACTTTCACTACCAAAGAGAAATGAAAATGAGAATATTCGATGAATGGGTATTAAATGCAGGCATTGATTTGGTGTTGTGGATAGGAAATAAGAAATTTAGTTTAAATCTCGCCAAATATAAGAAATTATATTTTAAAAAAATTATAAAATATTTAAGATACGCGTGTCGGACACGCGTGTCCAATTTGTTTTTAATATTTTTTAATTGGACACGTTTTCGGCGTGTCCGACACGTGTCGGAGGAGTGTCGGACGAGTGTCGTGTCGGACACGGTGTCGGACACTGCACGCCTCTTTAAGGAGAAGTGTCGGTGCATCATAGCCCACAAGTAACCACCTACAACCACCACCTCTCTCATGCATACTAGCATGGCTATCCTATACTTCATATGACAAAAACTTAAACTTAAATGTAAAACTATAGAAAAGTAAATTATATCAACATGAAGTTCACATAACACTTACAACGCTAAATACATGCAAATATATAAATGCATTAGACTAAATGCATAACTATTTCTTCATTTGCTCTTGTTCTTCATAGCTTGAGCTTCATATGCTCTTACCCTTACCCTACAGCTAGAAACACTTCCATGGTGATCTCCTTGAGTATGGCCGGCCACCAAGCCTCCAAGCCATTTGGAATTTATCTCCAAAACGTGCAAGCAAACCAAATATCCCTTCATTTAATTTTAGAACATTTTATGCAACTGAAAACCAAGTGAACTGACACAGCCCTTTATTTTAAAATAAAAACAGAGGGAAAAGGGAGGAGGGAGGGGTGGCCCAGATGTGCAATCACCATAACTACTCTCTCCATGTTTGGTCGTCCACTACACTCCATAGCACTTTCTTGGTTGACCACATCACTCTCTAGCCACTTCATATCACTCTCCCTAGCCATTTTACACATAAAGTAGCACTTGGAACATAAAGTCCACACAAACATTAAGTCTTTACACACACACAATCCTAAAATATATAAATATATAAAAATTTATATAAAATAGTGTAAATCATTAGGGCTTCTTCATGGCTTGAGCTTCATATGCTCTTGCCATTGATCTGGTAATATATCCACTTCCATGTGCTACATCACTAATTTTACCAACTCACCCAATGGATGCATTTTCTACCATTCATTGTACGTGTCCAACCACTTATATATATTTCTGATCACTATCTTCAATAGATATCACTCTAACATTTTCTCTAATACAAATATTCCTGAATTCATCCTTACTAGTTTTACCACGCATCCATCTTAACATTCTTAAATCTACAACTCAGCTTAGATATTAATGACACCGATAATAAAAGAAATAAGACATGACATGCAAAATTAGCCAAAGATAGTCACCTTAAAAATAAGGAATACTGTAAAAATCAAATATTGATGATCTCATCGTCAAAAGGAAAGACCAACTCAATGATCGAAAGATCGCATTTGAGGGAATCAGAAAGATTAATCTCAAAATAAACCCACTCAAATGTGCTTTCGAAATTCCATCAAATAAGTTTCTAGATTATATCATATATTAGGGAAATTGAAATTGACTGAACAAAATTAAGGCGATCGTCGAGTTGCCACCCCCGAAAAACCTTCATTAGCTTCATTTTTTACTAGTGCAGCTCACATACTTTTGGCAATTCATACCAAATCTATCAGGCAGATCTCAATTATTTACAAATTAATGAAAAAAATTGTCCATTGTAAATAAAAAAATAATATTAAAAATCTTTCAATAGCATTAAAAAAAATCTTCTAAGTCCGCCTAATCTTGTATCATCAATTTCGGGGAAGTTGATTGCAATCGACAAGGGTTTGTCAGTTGGTGATAGGGGCATTTGCATAAGAGAGCGGCGATAGATGGAGCTTGAGAAGAAGGGGTATGATTTTTCTTGACTCTGACTCGTACAAATGAGAGAAGATGGGTAGTGCAGGTGTTAAGTATATTTATTTGGGTTTTAGTTTATTACTTTTTTCTTTTTATTCTTCAATAATTAATTAATTTAAACTTCTCATTTTAACTCTAGTAAAAAGGACAAATGCAAGTGTAATAAAGATTCCAAAATTATATATATATATATATGTGTGTGTGTGTGTGTGTGTGTAAAATTAATGACCTCTTAATTCCTTCACTAAATTTTCATTGCTTGTCCATGTTAAATTTTATCCATGTTTTGCATGCACTGAGTGAATTTTTAATCATTTCTCTCATGTGGAAACCTCGACAATATAATTTTATTTCCTAATAATATTGACGTTTTGGACGAATGGCATGGTTTTTTTCACAAACGGACGATTTAGAATGATTATAGACAACGACGTGTCCATAGTTGTTGTTTTTCAATCACATTCAAGTGTATTAAACACAATGGGTCTTTTCCTAATAATTTGAACGTTCTCAAAGCAATGGCGTGATCCATTTCATGAATGAATGATGTTCGCGTGATTTCACTCAACGTTGCTTCATTAGTCTATTGTTTTCAACCGGATTTGATTGAGTCAAGTGTGAAGAGTGCTTCTTTGAAAATTTTAGTGCTCTGAAAGCATCGCCATGATCCATTTGGCAATAGAGCAACATTCGGGTGATTTCAATTGCAGTAGTCAAGGTGTTTCAAACCTCCTCCGAGCGACATCGAGTCGATTATTCCTTGTTCTCACCATATTGGATTGAATTGATCACGAAACACATAAGTAGGGCAACAATTAAGTCTTTTATTATCATTTGTTT